TGTGTTCAAAAAGCGTCTGGATCAAATACAAAGCGAGTTGACATTTAAGGATCCGTCACTGCTTGCACATAATTATCCAATGGAGTACGATAAAGATCAAAAACGTTCTGCGATTATTCCTACTCTTAAAGCGGAATTTCACAAAACTATTGATAAGATTAAAAAACGATTTGAACTTAACCCCAAAGAAGAACTTAAGCAAAAAACAGATCCAATTAAAAAAAAGAAGGCTTCTCCTATGAAGCAAAGTATTTACGAAGACTACATTATGCATCTTCATGAAGCTGATAAAAAAAAGAAATCAACTGAAATCCATAATAAAGACAAAGCCAAAGTAAAATCAGAAAGAAATGCAGATAAGGTGAGATCAGATAATAAGAAAACTAGTGAAGTATCTCATATTCGAAAATCGAAATCTTCCCAGAAAACTTCTTCTGAAAAAGATAAAGATGAAGACGTTCAAAACATACTTAAAGATTTCAATACAAAAAAGCTATTAGAGAACTCAGTTGATAAGGATAGTACAAATGAAAGTCCAGATCAAGATAAAAATAAAAAAGTAGACGAGAACTCAAACGAAAGTTTAGATTCAGGCAAAACTAATGTAGATGTGGATGAAAACGAAGTCAATGAACTGATTAAGAGAGTAAACAACAAAAATTTTGTTGAAAATAGTAAAAATACCAAAGCACCAAAGCAGAACAAGCCTTCGGAATACACAAAACAACGTAAGGTGATAAACGATATTTTAAAAGATTTTAATGTACAAAAATTTATAGAAGGAATTAATGAATCTTCCGATGTAATTGCTAAAAGTAAATGGCGTGCAGAACAGGATAAAGAGATGAAAAATATTTTAAACAAATTAAGAAAGTACGACACAAAAAAAGGCTCGGAGGAGAATACAGACAGATATTTCAACTCCAAGCAACTCGAATCTAATGTAAAAGATAGTAAAGAATCGGCTAAAGAAATTAAATCTGAGAAAAGTTTTACTGACTCTAGTTTAAAAAAACAGAGAAATACTATAGAAAACAAACTAAAAGTATCTCAGAGTGCGCCTTTAAAAGACAATTCAAAGGAAGACATCAAAAACACTTTAAGCAGCATTGATAACTGGTGGGATGATTTTAAGAAACGCCACAATGTAGTCAGTGATGATATGTACGTGTCATCTAAACAGAATGCAAAAAAATCTATTGATTCGTCTTGGAGTAAAGAAGATATCATTGCAAAACGTAATGATTTATCGATGGAATTGAATAGTATCAACGCTCAAAAGAAAAAGAAGTCCATTAAAAAACGTCGAATCTTGGACAATAACAATAATTTGGTTAATGTACAGAAGCGCTGCGATACTCGAATCATTCAAAGTATTAACGATGCATTTCCTGCAGTGTTAACCACAAATACTAATGATTTAACAACTATGTCTCAAGCAGGAAGCCTTTTGCAAAATGTGGCGAGGGAAATGAACACGACTACATTGGACTTAGCTCGAAAACTTACGGCTACTATGGACCCACAGATAAACTTAAAGACAGATCCAAAATTTAATACTGATCTTAAAAAAAATATAGCTAAGTCAGGTAAGTACTGAAATGTTATTCAATATTTATAAAATAATTTCAAATAAATTGATGTTGTATTATGTAGTCAATAATAGTCAAAGGAAAGCCAAAAATAGTAGCTCTAAAACCACGAAAGCCGCGGATGAACTCTCTAAATGTGACGCTCCTACTTCAGAGGATGAATGCAGGGATGCATCCTATATTTTAGATAAAGTATTAAGTAAATTAGAGCGCATTCAATGTGAAAAGAATAAAAAAATAGAACACAAAACATTATCCTGTGATGGTAAAGTAAAAAAAAAATTTAATTTAAATAAAAACATATTTATAACAATTAATATTATTCAGTATATTACTTACTACTTCAGTCTTCGTGGTTTAATCTTTGCTCAGTATATAGCATAAATGCAATACGCTATAGGTCTGTTCCACGAATTATTCGTAGTAAAACTCAATTAAAACACAAGTAAAGTACAAACTGAGAGCGTAACACAAATAAAGTGTCAAATTTCGCTCTTTACACAGATTTTCATGGAACAGCTTTGCATGAAGTCTGGTGAGAACACCAGTGCCGCGCAAATAAACAATACAAAAATTTAAATTCAAACTAAAACAGCTGATTCACACAACAACACAAATTTTAGTTGAAATAAAATGGAGTAAAGTCTGTGTAGCATTTTCAAATTTCGACAGGGATGTTACGCTTTCTCAAATACTCTCATTTACTCGAAAATTTGCTGAGAAAATTTACTACGAGTAGCTTGTGGAACAGACCTTATATTTTGCAGTTATCATGTAAAAACCTACAAAATATATATATAAACCAAAGGAAATATTCTCTGATATTTATTAAATATTTATTAAAGCACACAACTCTGTAAGAGAGATATGGAAATATTTCTCAACCCAATTTTACCTTAAGTTTTGCGTTTTAAAGTTCTTTATATACACTGTGATTAGTGTAATTACACTGTGATATATCAAGCATTATATATTTTATTTAACACATTTTTTGATCATTTAGTAGAAATTTTTACTTACTCTTAAAAAATTTTAAGAAACAAGAAAAATTAAAAATGTTCTAATACTCTATCGTAACGCAAAATAATACATCACAATCCTTGAAATCTTGAAATATAATTAATCACACTCCCGCAATCTCCACGAACACAAAAGAAGAGAACAACTGAAATATTGCTGAATGTTTTAGTTCTTTCGTATTGCTCTATAGTTCTTTTGGGCGTCTACTAAACATTGCCAATGGAATTATAGTTTTTTAGAATAGAAAAGCCATTTTTCATTAAATTTAATTATTAAAAATTATGAATGTAAAGAAAAGCAAAAAAGACTGTTTTTAAATTTTTTTTTTTTATTCATATTTAACAAAAGTTAAATATTTTACATTTCTAATATAATTTTGTCACTAAAATGATTTTATTTTTGTTAATATTGATTTACGAAAATGCTTATATATATTTATTATTTATTTATTACTTAAACTTATTTAGGAACTTATTTGCTATAATGTTTCAACGGGAACTTCTTTACAAAAACAGAAAAGAACAATAGAGCAACGGGTAGAACAAAATATTTTAAAAACTATTAATTATTTTAATAACAAAAACACTAAACCAATCATAAACAATACAACATAAACACTTCTAATAACTTATTTTATATATATACATATATATAAATATTGTATTTGTTTATATTTACATAACGTACTATCAGATACTAATACAATTATGCATCTTACAGGAGCACCTTGTGATATAGCAGGCTCATGGAATTCCTATGTAATGGGTGTACATTTTGAATTATCACTGGCAAAAACGACACGTACATTGGGAGAACCTGAAAAGGAAAATAAAGATTTGCACATTGTAGTTAGCGAACGTGTTCCACCAAAACATCATAGTGTCATTGATGCAGAATGGTCTTTTATGGGTAGCACCATGAATCAATACGGTGGACCATTTTATATGTTTACTGAAAGTAAGTCTGCACATTCTGGAATAATGGCGACATTTATTGGTATTTATATTAATATTAAATTGAATCAATTCTAGTATAGTATTTTTATTGGCTTTATCATTTTCAAGGTTCTTGTCGTACTTGTGGCGGTATTGACACAATATTTGGTGGCTGGACATTAATTTTTCCATCAAAAGATTGTCAAGACGTTACAACATCAATAGAGCATAAAAGAGATTTTTTTCGGCGTAACAGAATGGAAGCAAAACGCAAAGAACGTTTCAAGACTATGCTATATGACAAAAGCAAATATGCCAAAAAGGATAAATGTAATCCCATAAAATGTTAGACCTATTTTATATTGAATATCTATATATGGTTATATATTCAGTTCATATATTTTTTGAAATGTTTAATTGAATAAATTTAAATTATCATTTAATTTTATTGGCACATATTTTGTTACAATAATAAATATGTAATGCTAATTTATGATGTATTTTTTTTGTTACAATTTGTATGCACATCTTAAATTTACCTAAATTTGTCCTGGATAATGTCGACTAGAATTTTCTACTGCAGCTATCATTTGCATCATTTGACCCAAATGTCTGCCAACACAAGCTCTATCAAGTTTATCGCCACTTGGTGTCTTGCACGCATCCAACTTGTCATTAGCCAATCGAAGTATAGATTGTTTAATTTCTGGTTTGTCAGCCAATGGACCTGAACCGTTTAACCGTTCAGTTATTTTTACTTGGAAAGGAATTGCTTCAGGAAATTGTGTTTCAGTCATACGCCACGAGATTGATTCAGAATTACTTCCATGATTTGAGTTTCTAAAAGCTGCAAAGATATCCTGCATATCCCGATTGTTTTTCCATGAGTTTTCTTCGGAGGACTCGTTTGACGAGTCGTTGTCATTACCTCTATTTGAAGAACGTCTTGCCGAGTTGCAGTGTACCTGTAATATAAAGTATTGAATATGTTTTAAAATATTTTAATAAATTATATTCTTATACCTGTACACAGCTAGCAACTGCTACTACGAATATAATTGCAAATAGTTTCATATTAGGTTTAATGTATCACTTTGAGGTAATTATTCAAATTGGTCATCTTGCTTGCAGTTCCCAGTTTATATAGCGTTGAAAAATGAATAAAAAAATTAATTAATTCCAACTGCGCTGAATTACATGTTTCCATTCGAGAACAACAATGTCTATCATGATTCATAAAATTGCTTAATATGCAATTTTACTACATATTTACAAAATAAGTTCAATAACCAGATTTTAATCTTAAGCGACGCCACAAATAGTTAATAATTATATATATTAATTATGTAACCAACTAAAACATTATAATGTAAACGAAAAGAGTATATATATTTTATGACATATATATGTATGTATATATTCTTTACATTTACTATATCTAATGGAGATTCTGCATTATAATTGTTTACATATTACATATGTGAGATCTCATATACTTCCATCTTGCATCATTAGGTGATCATTTCAACAAACAAATAATATTTTCTTGAAATTATTTTAGAGATAACCCTTAGTGATGGTGTAGACAAGCGGTCAATGTACTGAACTTACACGTGAAAAATCGTGAAGGTTGTTTATATTGTATGAAGTTCCTCTAATTTTCTTAACATATAGGCATTAAAATAATATAATAATATTCATTAATATTATGTTAGGATAATATTTAGAAAGACGCTTATGTCTAAACTCTTGACAATATCAGTCAATGGCAATGCAAAACTCATCAATTTTCTCTAATAGGTTTTTATGCTTTTAAGTTGATACTAATTTTCCAACGTCTTACCTAAAGTCGTGTATATATGTAACCATGATTTAATTTCAACTGAACGTGTTTACCATTTCAGATCCTAGTCTTCATTTGTATATTGGTAACCATCGCTAGCATAACACAATTTCGTAGGAGTCCTACACACATATACACCAATTATTCGATTTATAATATTACCGACAGCAGTGTAAATTACGCGAATTATGATAAAAGCAAATCAAAATACCTATTTTACTCAAAATAAAGCTTAACAGTAATTTTCCCTCAAATATACAATATTTAGTAGGGAAACTAGATATCAATGAAATTCATACTGACATATCCAAATAAAATTCATATGAATGCTGAACTCGCAATGTTTTACAGTGTTTAAAGAGTTATCAAAATTTATACTATATTCAGACACATCCTAATTTCGCCAATATTTTAATTTCGTCTTCGTGTCAGCGAAATTACAAAATTCCATACAAAATTCAGTTTTAAGGTTAGAACGAAATTAAGGAAAATGGCCTTAACTGAAATTAAGTGACATTTCAAATGCAACTATGCGTAAGACAAGTTTTAAGCAAAAGATGAAGTTGAAATAACAAAAAAGTGCCTTTTTTTGAATAAATGTGAGTTAGTTATTAATGTTATTAATTTAAAATAGAGTGAAGTACAATAATTCACATACCTGAAATCCACTAAAGCTAATAAATCTACTGAATGCAATCCTTCATAGTTATAATAATCAACTTTTAAATTTCCCAAATGCAATTTGGAGCATGTAATTTTAAAATTCGAATGGTAAACAAAAACCATATTATTTTCTTAATTTGAAGAAGTATGAATACTTTCGAAATTAACAATTTTATTATTACGAAATTAAAATAATTTGGCTGTCTAAACATAGTATTCACTATAATTGAAATTAAAACACAACGCAAGTTTCTCAACTCATAAGAGAGTGCAACAATGATTTTAACTTTAATATTTTAACATCTTAACACGAATTTACTATGATAACCAAGAACTATGAAATTAACATAAATTTGCGATTTACTACTAAAAAGTTTTTTGGTATCATACTTTACGAGTATAACACAACACTTTTTCGTTCTACAATTATTTGAGCAACCCTGTCTTTAGTTATTATTTACACAAACTATACAAATATGATAACATACTAAATCAGCTGGAGTCAAGTTTACGAATCGTTCTTAAGAAAAAGTAAATAAAAACAATTTATAGTTTATGTGTAATAAAAATAGTATTAAAGAATAAATAAGATTAAAACATAATAAATAAAATCAAAATGGGTAATCAGTTGGTTGGAATAGCACCATCACAAATATACCCTGTGGAGCACTACTTTTCGGGTACATTTGGTACAGAAATTGTTTTTGATTCAAAGTAAGAGAAATTGAAATTTTTCATTTTAAATTTAATAACTAAATTTATTTATTCTTTAGTATGGGTAGCACACGTTTTTTCAAAGTAGCCAAAGCAAAAACAGAAGAAGGATTGATTGTTGTAAAAGTATTTGTGAAACATGATCCAACATTACCTTTAGAAGATTATAAAGAGAGAGTGGAATATATTAAAAAAACACTTGCTAATGCAGTAAATTGTTTGCCATTTCAGAGAGTTGAGGTTAGTTAAATTACTTGTATGCAATATATATATTAAAATTCAAGCCGATTTGTGTTCTTACTTTCACAGCTCACTGACAAGGCTGCATATATAATGAGAGAATTTGTGAAACATAGTTTATATGACCGCGTCTCCACACGCCCGTTTCTAACTGTTTTGGAAAAGAAATGGATTACATTCCAAATTTTATGTGCTTTAAACCAATGTCATAAACAGAAAATATGTCATGGTGATATTAAGGTAATGTAATGAAACATTTAAAAAAATATACTTTTGGAACTTTTGCTTTAACAGCTAGAAAATATATTGATAACATCATGGAATTGGATTTTATTATCCGATTTTGCCTCATTTAAGCCAACGTACTTACCGGAAGATAATCCAGCTGATTACACATACTTTTTTGATACAAGCCGTAGACGTACTTGTTACATTGCTCCAGAACGTTTCGTTAAAACGTTGTCATCAGAAGATCCAGAAGGAAATGTTTCTATGTTTCCTACTGACTCAATATTACGTTTAGGACCCTATTCTGGAACAACTGTTCTACCAGCTATGGATATATTCTCTGCTGGGTTTGTACACCATCTATATTGTAATTAATAAATATTAATTCATATGTTTGAATAATTTCTATTTAGTTGTGCATTGTTAGAATTATGGACTGAAGGTACCGCCCCCTTTGAATTATCTCAACTGTTAGCATATCGACGTGGTGAACGCGATTTAGTTGAAAAACATTTACAAGGCATCGATAATGAAAATTTGCGAAATTTATTAGCGTCAATGATTAATTTAAATTCAATAAATCGAAAAAGTGCCGAAGATTATTTGGCTGACGAACGTGGTCGTCTTTTTCCGGAATATTTCTATTCGTTTTTACAATCATATTTGCAAATATTTTCCTCTACGCCTATTATGTCTGCAGATGATAAAATCTTAACACTACATACCGATATGAACCACTGTATTAAGGTTTTGACAAATGCACAAAATGTGACGCCTGATGAAGAAACAATTGATGGATTTAAACAACTTGCCATAACTGAAAAGAAAGATGATTTATAC